ATTAATTAATCTGGACAAATTATTCTGCACCTATCGAACAAGGAAATTGTGGAAAATTAATCGGGTATTTATGAAACCATTTTTACATAGATCCATTGACGCATTTGTAAATGAAACAGTTGCACAAAATATTATGTTTTCATTTCTTGGGAGTATAAATAGATTCTGCGAAACTGATTATCTAATATAAATAAAAAATTTCAACCTTTACATAGTTGCCAGGAGTTTACAGAGGTTTAATCTGTGAACCAAAACATGTGTAATTTATGATAATGGTTTTGAAAATATCGATATTTTCTCAAATGTTGATAAGTCACATCTGTGAAACCTGAATCTAATTTTTAATTTTTATAGATACTGAAGAGTCCCCTACGTAAAAAAAGGTAGGGAAGTAGCATCGAATGGGTCACTAAATGAAAACTTTTGAAAAAAGGCAACAAGCATCAACAGTGAAGCATTTGGATGGAGTTATGACAGAATTATTTTCTTGGATATTTTATTGATTCACAGTAGAAAGAAATCCTCTACAGATACTTTAAAATTATGTCAAGATTGAACGAGAACATTTAAATTACTTATGAGTAAATTCAACTTGAGAATTTACACAAAGTCCAAAAAATATAGAGTAGATTAATTTTTAAGTAAGTGGATGTTTCCCAGTAACTCAGAAGACTAAAAAATAGAATAAATGATCAGAGATCAACAAAATTGAAAGTATCATTAGTTTTAGACGCATAAAGAATGTAATGGGACCTCATAATTACCTATGAATTCGGATATTGTGACAGTACTTGTAAGTATCAAAAGCGATATGATTACCGCGGTAAGATAAGAGACCAAAGATATTACATTTGGTATTGCCTTTTAGATAGTATTTATGGTAACATAAAGCAAACTTACTACTTTTCAATAGGCTGGACAAATTATTAGAATAGATAGTGAAAATGAAAATAATAACAGTCAGATGTTGGATCTCATCTTGGAATGTTATGGTACTAAGTTTCTGAATAAACAGAGATGGATAGTGGCTCCAGGACGTGCGTTTCGTCCTATTTTGGACTCGTCATCTGTGACGTGAGGCGACATCGAGGCAATCCGCATAGTTTGCATATATACTAGTAAGATACTGATCCATTTCAGTCTCACGTATCAAAGGGAAGATTCCAACAACCAATTCAATATTAAGTTCCTTGATGTTTATTTCTCAGTGTTTTTATTTCTCAGATAAAATATCGAAACCCACCTCCCTAGGTTCACAACATAAAAATGATTGATTTCAAAGTTCATTTGTGATCTCATAAAACGTGTACGAACATCAAAGATAGATGAATGGATTACTTAGAAAACATAGTGGCTATTACTTTATTAATAATCGAGACCGGTAATCCATTAAGCAGTTAACCTTCAGGGTTCCAGTTTGGCATATTCCGATCAGTTGATTTACTTAGAACTGCCCCTGTGATACGATAACACACACGGACTTGTGAAACATTTCGGGTTCTTTGTATTATTTAACAAGATGAAACTGTTTACGTAAATTAGCTTCAGATTAGCTACTTATATCGTATATATATATATATATATATATATATATATATATATATATATATATAAGAACACTGAACGAGGTTTATTAACTAAACTGTTCAGGTAGGGCTGTTTGATGTCACATGACTCACCACAATCCTCATTCATTCAAGACTTTGCACGGTAATTATTCTAGTATGAGGATTTGTAGAACATGAAGTATTTTCACAGTTCACACGCAAATAGAGATCTTGGGTTTTATTTCCGGATTCGTAGTCATGGATGCTTACTGCTGAGTAGCAAAATATTAGGGTGAAGTGGTCACTTGGTACTTCAAAGTTTTCAGTGGTGGTCCAGCTAAAATCAGTTTGGTAGTTAAACTGTGAATAAAGTAATCATTCTAAATCTCAAACGTTTTTGCTTATAGAAATATTCATTTTCTTCCAGTGTTGAGATATACACAGAAACCTAATTCATTCTCATACTTCATTTTGTTAGATCTAAGTTTAAGCCATATTTTTGCAACTTCAAAGCTGAATTAGTGAACCAGAGTATAATGGCTAAAAAATGATTGATAAAACTGAAATGAACTTCATATCATTTTAAGATAAATAAAAAAAGACATACCTAATCAACTGATCTTAAATATTCCAACTGGTTTTAATTCAGAAAACTATGAATACCAAACACATTTTCAAAGATGCTTGACTCGAACACGATAAAATATTGTAAATTATGAATCAAATGATTTTGACAGACATTCATATATCCACTCACTTAGGTTCTGCGAAGTCGTCAATGTTATGGTTTTATTATTAGGAAATTATGGCACTCATTCGAACTAGTAAGTTTCGTTATTTTTACACAACAATTTTAATTCAAATTAGCTACGTTCACTATGATTGGTCTGTTTAATCACGAACTTATTCTCCTGAATTATAAACACAAAGAAAACGCAAAGAATCTGTATATGCATTGTTTCTCACATCACTCGAATGTAAATTAAGTACTGCACTATATATGTTCATAATAATCCAGACGTATGGAAAGTGTTATCATAATGAAAAGGTTTTTTAAGATTTTGAAACTAATCACATTTGGAACTGGATGAAACCAAAAAAAGTAAGTGAAAAGCTATATAGACCTATGAAAATAGTTTTTTGGATGATGGTTAGCAGTGATAATCAGTACGAGAATTGCATACGATATGAGATTCGTCATTTGGATTTATATATATCACAGTTTTGTTGTTTATGTTGAGACTAGTATCCAGTATCTACCTCTATAGTTGCCGTCGTGTTATTTTGCTAAACTTTTAACTGGAGACAATGACGATATTTCTAACAAGGGTTCACACATACTGAAGAAAAATGGTAAAAATGAGTTTTCAGATACCGAAATGCATACAAAATGAGGTATACTGCATAGCTGTAAATTCATACGCTTGAAGAAAATAAGTGGTAGATCTCTACTACCTCTACTATAATTTTTCTCAATATTCCGCAGATAACTAGAGTGATGCTTACAGTCCCATGTTTTTGTAAGCCATTCTAGTCTCTAGATCTCATTTTTAGTGTCATATATGTAGTTTTAATCTAAGATAGATCCATAATTTTAAGAAAGTAAACAGTATCAGTATAAATAATGAAGCGTCAATTCCATCGTAATGGATATAAATTGATGCATTACCGTCTACTGAATGACTTACTGAATTGTTAACGAAATTTATTTATTTACTAATTTGAAGATAACTGAAAGAAAGCGGAAAAGCTACCGATGCTAGTAATATGTAGGGGTTGTGAACCAAAGTTCTCTAGAAATTCATAAATAGCCACAAAATAATCGCTGAACAGGATAACGATGGTTTTAGTGTCATTTATAATTGAGTTTAACAGGACGAATCATGGAGTACTCGGATTTTTCAAAAAATTAAGGGATTAATTAAGTAGAAGTATTAAGCTTTTCACTTTCAAACTGGTGATTAGCTGTAACGACTACAATAAATAGCTTCTAATCTGTAGGTTTTTTCAATTTTATGGACAATTCAGCTATTTTTACAACTGGAGAGAAGCTGTTTGAAGCAAAGTAATGTCTGCCACGACACTTAACTGGAGTGTACTAACCATTAGGCTCAATCAAACTGTACAATTTCATAGGTTCAATGAAACCGAAGTAAAAACTGTTTGATAAAACGTATCTGATTGGTCTTGAGGACTATTATTAAAGACATCACGTCAATGTGAAGAGGGCAATTTCTATACAGCATTAAATAACATTTCGATTGACTGACCGAGTTATTACAACTACATAAAAGCAATTAAAATTTGTTACCTAATAAGGCAGATTTTATTGTTCTAGTGTTGTATTTAGTGCCAGGTTGGATTTTTTGAACAATATTTATAAAAATCGGTCTTAAGAGCAAATATATGGAAGGAATATTGGGGCTAAAAAACAAATGTTTTGCAACAGATTGACTTTAGAAGACTGTTAAACTGATTTCTTATTACACGAGTTATTCAAATTGAGATAGTCTTCTGCTAACTTGCACTAGTAACAGAAAGTTTAGTAGACGTGATATATTGCTGATTTATATTTATAGCGTCATTTCTGATAAAATGAACAGTAACTCTCGGCCTTTTTGAGAGCTACTTCTTATCAACAGACTTTTGACCACATTTTTTCATCAATTCAGTCGATCTGATAAAAAATCAGTTTGAGCAGCACACATATTTATTTTATTCTCACAATATTCCATATTTTGAAAACGACAGTGTTAAAATACTAATATTGGATAAATTCAGCCATTCAGTTTATGCTTGTATATATTTATGGGACAAAATGAACAACTAAGCTTGATGTCACTATTGATGTACCTTATGAACCGATGTAATACTAATCAACTTAGCTGTTTATCTGCTTCAAAAATAAGAAAACCTGTGATGAATAGATATCAGACGTTTGACCACACTTATATACCTCTGGAACAAAATGCAATTTGTTTTACAATAAGGAAATGTCAATACAAAGTTACTAGTATTGCTACGTTAAAAAGAGGGTTTATATACCTGAACTGACTGTTAATTGTAAAAATATGAGGAAAGAGGGTCTTCTAAGCTTTCCATGTAGTATGGTCCAGTGAAAATATATAAAATTATTAATGATAAAGTTTGACTACTCGTGTTATATAGTTACAGTAAATTCAGCTTTTTACAAGTTCTTGACAACTTATTATGAGACGCCATTTATTTAATAAACATACAAGAGTCTTGCAGATATAAAACTATCGAGTTCTTAAGCTATCTTTCAGGTCCATTATTGATTTATGTTACTTAGTACACAGCGAAATGGATTAAGTGTTTGCCAGATTCCATTTAGAAATGATTATATATTCTTTTTAACTAATAAGGATCTGTTCAGATTAATTAACAGCAAGTCAGTCACGTGTATATAATTATGACAGTAAAACAGAAAGCTTCTTTAGTGCTATTATATTTATTGAAACATATGCACTTCAGTGCTTGATTGACATAAATTATACTTATGAGATTTAATAGAGATAGAATAAATGAAAAAAGAAAGTGATTTGTAAAGTTACGAATTAATTTAATGATTTCCAAATAAAGATTTTTTGGGAAATTGGGGTTAATTTTTCTTTGATGAACTCTGAGTACACAATTCACACTTTATTGCATTGTATAAATAGTTAGTTTTGCTTCACAGTTTTGTAACTAAAGTAAGGATTGAAGATGAGCTAGTGCGAAAGAAATGTGAAAGCGTTTTGTTGTATGAAAATGCATGAAAACAAATAAGTTTGAGAGATTTAAGTAGTAGTTCATTTTAAATTTGCTTTATGTGGTTTATTGTTCAAAGATGAAATAGCTCAATATGATTCATAAGGACGTGTGTTATAATATCAGCAATGTATTTCATCAAAATATAAAAGAAAATTCGTCTTCACTACGTGAGTTAAACACGTTTGATGTAGATGATTCTGATGTATAAAGAGGGCTAAAGTTTGCCTCTACAAAACCTTGACTACAATATTTATTTAGGCTTGGTTTCCATGGGTTAAATCTGGGTGAGTGTACTGAATTAAAGTCAGAATCAGGGCAATACTTAACTGTTTCACATGTTTTCCAGTTACCCTTTGAATATATGAACTGTTTTCTTTTCTCTGATAGTCTACAGAAGCGGTAAAATTCAAGAAAATGTACAACATTGGACACTGTAGTAAAAAGCGAATAAAAGCTTTGGAATTTATAATTCCTTGTTAAAAATTTAAGTGTATTTATTGATACTAAAATCCTCACAATGTGATTTCCTACGGTTCATTGAAGCTTATGTTGTAATCTCGTCTTATTTTGGACAATACAGCATTCTAGTAAATAGTCCCTTATCCACAGTCTTATATCCGCTATAAATTATCAAGCAATAAAGTATTTACTATGGCTGTTAGTTCACCACCACTTATAATTGAGCATCAGATCCCAAAGAAATCCAAAGACGTGTCCTTGTTCTAAGTTTTTAAAAATTTAATTTTCAAACATAATAAAGGTGATAATAACTTGAAAGGATCAATAACAAACTTAAGAGTCGTTAATTTGAATGAAGACAGTATCACGAAATAAGTGTCAGCCAGATTTACTAGAACAGATATTCAGTTGTTAGTTTTATATGGTAATGTGCATTGATAAACAGGTATTAGATATCTTTATAATTCAAAATGTCCACAAAAGTCATTGAAACATATTTCACATTCATATTAACATCCTCTTAGAAACACTAAGCAACAAGATTTATGGGTTAACAGATTTACTGCTAAGCTGCAATTACTGAACTTTCTATTGAAATTTTATCATATTGATTATACCTAACTTTATTTACTACTTTTCATACTCCCGCTATTTCTCTCTTAATACCTTCTAACTTTTATGAGTAATTTGAATTTGAGAAAGAGAAATTATGAATCTTTTACTCTTTGACCATTTATGGTAGTCTATATTTTGCGGAATTCATTGCACCTTCAAACCAGTGAGCATTGACCTCAAAAAATGTGATGAAACCTGTCTAGCTAGTCAGCGACATTTAAGTTAGTTCAGAAAGATGTTTTGAACACTGAGCTTGCAAAAAAATTATGAGTAATTCGAATTGTCATTAACTAACTGATTTGAAAAGTAAATCCTCCTCATGTTGTAAAACTACAGAATGAATTATAGTCATAAAAACTAATAGTAATAATAGATTTATTTTCTTCATAAGATTGTCCATGGATTTGCTACTCTGAAAGATGGCTTTTTTATTCGGTGATTAAAAGTCAATTTCAAAACCATTTTTTATCAGCAGCTTTCTGGAAATATGAGTTTTCTATTAACTGTGACTCAGATTCAGTGTTTAAATCTTCTTATCACGCGCAAGATGATACTCTTAGGTTTCCTGTGTCTTTCTGACGCAAGGTTATTAACATTATAATTAATATTATTACCTTTCAAGGTCTCTGCGACTTGAACTAATTGGGAACTAAAATGCGAATTATCGGCTTTTGTTGAGGTAATTATCATTTCAGTTCCAATTTGTTTGACATAGTCCAGTGTTTCATAATAAATTAATCAAGCAGTTCAGTGACTTACAGGGCTTACCTATTTATATTGGTGCTTCCAGAAAAGAAATGAGGAATCTTTTTGTTCTCTATACGAACTGACCGTTAATGTACTATACTCAGCTGAATAAAGTATCCTCTGTTCAGTCATTTCTCTTCTCAAAAGAAACGTAATCTAGCTGTCTCAAGAAAAACGCACTTCTGACCTTTTATTAAAGTTTTTGACGAATCGTTTTCAATAAAATCAAAAAACTTCCTTGACAGATATTGAAACCTAACGGATTTGACGACACTGATCTTGGATGCAGACGTTGATTTAAATTTTTTGTTGTTCAGTTTATAAGTAGCTTTATTGTTATGATGCTTTCATTCTCCTTGGAGAATATATATATATATATATATATATATATATATATAATTTTGATGACAGTTGGTCAATCGACATAATGAAGAAATATCTTTACGTTATGTTGCTTTGTAACAACAACTTGTAGCAACAAATGAATGCAAGATGTAACTTACGGTTGATTATTCAGAGCCATTTTTAATGGTGTTCCTTCGTTGAGTTAATAGCTTGCATAAACTGCGTCCTAATAAATGTATTCAGCTCAAAAATTTATCCAGTGCTCTTAACCAAGAGACGATGAATACTGAAGTAAAATGGTAGTAAATAATTACCCGTATATAGGCGATAGCTCTAGCTGGTAATATCATCAATAAAATACACATCCAAGTAAGTTTCATGATTTATTTTCAAGTCTTTTATTATACACAGAATATTGTAGTTAGGATACTAAGTGAATAGTCTTACAGAAAATCAGACTTCGTTCGGGAATCTTGCATCCCAACCAAGTATAAACAACAAATTAGTTAAGTGTTCACAGTTTTATGCAGTTATATCAGCATTTTCGTGTTTTGTACCACTCAAACATGATCCATTGTGAGGCTACATTGAATCTCACTCGCTGTAGAAAAACATGTGAGACAAAATACAAAATCATGTTTGGATTCTGTGTGACGTTTGATCAGTAAAACATTCGGTAAAATAATTCTAATGTAAAATCTTGTTGTATTTTCACTATTTCAGTGATACACAATATTCGTTGACTAGACAGTAAAACCTATATTTGAATAAGACTACTTACTTAACAGGTTCTTATTGTCATCCATTTTTGTGTTGTTTGTTTGAATCTTTCCACTGGTGTTTAGGACTGCAGGTACATACAGTTGACGAATCCCAAGTAGGTAGGAATGCGCGTCCTGGTTTCCACTACTAGCCACCGTCCATCTCTTCTTATAAGGTTTCTATTATGTTTTTGATTTTATCATTGTCTTTAATAAGCCTCAGTTTCTCACTGCCCTTTGTTCAGTTCTCTCAGTTATGGGCATACCCCTTAAATATGTTAACAGGTAACTAAGATCAGTGACTATGTAGACAACGCGCTGGCATTTAAACTAGAAGGTACAAGGTTCAAGACAGTAAACATTACCGTTGTAACTAAGGTACATTCAACTAGCGAATCCTTAAAAGAACGAAATACACGTCATAAAATATAATACCAACGTTGGAAAAAAATTTAAAACATTTTTGATTTCTATCAATACTTGAAAAATCCATATATTTTAAGTTCTTTACTTCAATTTATTTCTTAAATTGATAATATTTTTTAATTACTTAAGTAGTAGTTTTGACCAGTTAAATGCTTATTTTAAACTCTACTACTCTAGTTCCTATATCTTTATTTATTCAGATATATTAAAGACACGAAGAGAAACTAAACTATGGCTTTTGTAACTTACCCACATTTGAAACTCAGGGGTTGCTTTGAAGTTGGTTGATATATATGATATGATGCCCTTTGGGTCGATTCATCTAACGACTCATAGTCTAACAAAATATGGCTCATATTGTTCTCCACATGGTATGTTGAAGATAAACCATACGGTTTGCAAGTTTTAAATTTATCTGAAGAATAGTTTGATGGTGAAGATGTTGCGTGTGATTTTGTGTGTTGACTATTATATTCATATTTCACATTGGACACAGGATTGTTCATTTTGTAACACGGTTGCTGTAACACAGCTTTTTCACTATAACAACTGGAGTCCTGCCAGTTTTCACCTGATGGTACAGAAGTTGTTCTTGAATGACCAACTAGACCAGGAATGGACTCCAATGGAAGCATACTTTTTGGACCATGCGTACGCGAATCAATTTGAACTAGACCCATTCGGAAACCCATAAGCTGTCTTTCTAACTCATCTTTTTCTTTAGTGATTCTTATTAGTTCATTTCTGGTCAAATTAATAAAATTAAAAAAACCTGTAATTAATGGATTGGTATCGTGAACTATCCTTCGGCCTTTAAATCGTGTATCAAAAAATTAACTCCAAAATAAAGTGAAAACTGTTAAATAATGTATCGAGCAAAACATAATGGATAGAAACTATTTTTTCCATATCCGTCTTGGATTTATCGACTTATTTGTGGTTAGTGTAAATTAAACAGAAGACAAGTGTATCTCTTTTTTGAATAAAACTTGATAAAGTATTTTTCATAACAATAGCTATACTATATAAGAACTCTCGTCTAAATTGGCTATACTACTTACAAATGTTGAACACACTCATTGAAAGTTTACTGGGATAAAAAGTATAAATTTAGAAACTCATCTAAATCATTGGTGGTTCCTCTAGATGGGTAAAATACGATGGTATTAAGATATGTAAATAATTGTTCTTGCAGGATTAGATGATATTTTTCCTAGTAACTATATGGTTAACGAATTTAAAAAATGATATTGATAATAGTTTATCATTCAATTCAATAGTCTTGAAAATTGCTAAACAATATTTACATCATTACTTGGAATCTTTTAATAAAACAATATCTTCAAACATCCTTAAAAAGTTATAACACAGTTTTAAAAGTAGTAGTAGACAAAAGAGATGAAATCAGTCAGTTAGCTGGTCAACTATAGTTATAGACAAATATCTACGCAGTACTTTAAGAATCAATAAACAACAATACCACTGGGTGGCTGCTATATTTACGTTCAGGAATTCAGTGGTTAAGAATATGAAACTTTTGTTGGCTATTTTAAACTGATTTCCGATTTATGTCGACACGCTGATGAATCTCATTTTCGTTCATAATTGGTCACATATCTTCGTTCTCACTTATATTTAATTTTGCAAATATTAATTTAGAAGTGTATTTTGTGTTATACACTAGTAATTGACGGTTAATTAAAAGAATGTAGGTGAAGGAGAATTTAAACTGTATGTTCAGAGGCTAAAAGTTTAGCTTTCAAAACACAGAACCTCAGCCGTTATAGTGAATACCAGTTCAGAAATTAATACTGTAGAAAGATATGTTCGCTTAGGTTCTCTCACGTGGACTTCATTTAGTAAGATCATGCTATTGATTCAATGGAAAGACTGGCATTTTTTAAAAATGTAGATAATTTTCACAGGAATTATTGAATAATTAGTTGATAGATTCCATATTATATTGGTTTAATGCTCTCTGTATCTTGTTTGTTAGAATCTAGAACTTTGGTAATACATAACGTTTATAACGATAAAATACAACAATAATGATTATTCTACTATTGGTTAATTCACTATTTTAAGACTAACCAAATCAAGCTCTTTTTGAAGAGAATGATTTTCAAACCTGCACAGGGGTAATGTTAATAGAATAAATGGACGCACTACGCTAGTTAGTGACAAAAGGTTCCTCACATGTCCTGAGGAAAGAAAGTTTGATGAAAAAGAATCTAATCTAATCAAAACAGGAAATAAACCTAGACCAGTTTATTCGAATACTAAATGATGCTCATTTTATTTAGACAACCTGAAAATCACAGAGAAAAACCAGTCAGATGATACGATGTCCTAATGGTTCACGATAAGATGTATTCAAATGTGTTTGAGAATTAGTAAGCAGATTATCTACCCAGTTATGATTAACGTATGTATACTCCTCTTTTGGTTATTCCGTTCACTCATAAATAATGAAGGGTTTTTAGTACTATGGTGGATTGTCTTACTCAGCCTTGCCTTCACTTATTGTCTGGTTGATTTGAACATGAGTTAATTGTGTACGTAGGTTCTGAACTGGTCTGAAGGGCGTCGAAACATTATAGATCTATTTTAATCTTCAGTCAAGTAGTGACAGATAATCTTATGTAATACCAATACCAATACTATCTTCATAATCCATATATAAAACCTTTAATATACGGTTTTTTACTGATAATCTGCTGAGCCCTAAATACATATTGGCTAAGATAATGAGTAGTAGGTCAATTTTATGAATAAAATTTATCTTCAACTCAAATGTAGAACAATTACTGACAGAAAGAACATTTGCTTCCATAAATGTTAGTTTGATTTATCTACAACGTAATGTGGAGTGATAAAGTTGGAACAGAATCAGTTAATTGTCCGGAATAATTCACAGGTAAGCCCCAGCCTATAAGAGCTTTTTCTTCCATCACTTCTGTTATCATGCTTAGGTTCAGTTTCAGTATGGAAAAAGCAGGAGGCTTGATCGCCTGTGTTAGTCCTAACAATGGTGGTCTCTCAGTTGATCCAACTTTCTCTTGAAATAGTCGACGGACGGAACCCCAACCACGTGATGAGATGATAAATTCCACTCATTGATGACTCGATGGGGAAGTCGATAGTCAGTTGACAAGTAATTTGTCCTGGGATTGTGAACTTTTTGGAGTGTTCTCGTAAATTTTCTGTTTTGGAAGACAAGAAAAATGAGGACATATCAGGTGCAAATTTATCACTAAGCAATTTGAAAACTGTAATCAAGTCGCCTCTAGTTCTTCGATATGACAACGGGAACAGGTTTAGCTTGGCCAGCCTAGCATCATACGGGAGCTTCGCTATTCCGGGAACCAGCTTAGTTGCTGTTCTCTGAACCTTTTCCAAAAGCTCACTGTCATTTTTAAACTGGGGCTAGCCGCTTGTATGCAGTACTCAAGTTTAGGACGCACGAACAAAAAAGCAAATAAGTAAAATATCATTTAGGGCGTAGATGATAGCTAGCAAATAGCAATCGAAAACGGTGAGTTAGTTGACTGCATAAGAGCTACTGAATTTTAAGAAGTTAGCAAGAATTTAAAATATATTGTATTACCCTATACGAATGATGAATAGTATGGGTCCCAAAGATTTTTATTAGCTAACGGAGCTGCAAATCACACATCATAATATATGTTTTCATACTAACTTTATAGTTTCAGGAGTACCATTGGTTTGTAGTACTGAGGTTAAGACACTGTCTGTGAAATTTCCTGTCTTTGTTAGACCCACCATGTTATTCTCTAATCGTAATAGTTGGAAAATATATGAAAAATGCTATGCTGTCTGAAATTTCGGATCATTTATAGATCAGTAATTCTAAAACTTTGAAAGCTACAAACATGAATTAGACCTCTCATCGTATCCATGGCAATCTTACAGAGAAAAGGTCAAATACGGATGAATTCATGTTAACTTAAAACTGTTCATGGATTATTTCTTAGTCGTTTTCACCGAAAAAAGTTTTTCTTTTCGGAATTTTCGTATTTTTATGTATCACCGTATTTTTTTATTTTCATAATATATTTTTCATTCTTCTTATAAAAAACGCAGTATGAAACCAATGCCTTCAATCACATTCTTCAACAAAGGTTCGTTTTCCCACGTAAGTGCCACGCCTTTATTTATTATGCTGAGAAATAAGTTTTGATCCCTTTTTTTGAAAAATATTATTAGTTCCCCTAGTAACATCTTGTAATGCTTCGCAATAAAAAGTAAATCCAATTTGTCGTTAAGGCGTTTTTAATTTGAAAAAATATTTTCAGACACACGTTTTGTATCTTTGATTGTTTTTGTTTTGACTGGTTCACATTAGTAAATTTTGTGTATCAGTGCCCCTTAGTTTCTCTAATCGTTTTTTCTCAGTCATCATTTGATAAAAACTAACCTTGGATATTAGGCACTTAGGCAGTTCTTACGGTATTGCGCCTCAGCGAACAGACCGCCTGTCGCAGCTGTGCTCAGAGAACTTTATTTTAATTTTAAACGTAAGGAGAAACACTGTCCGATATGACAATATAAACAACATTGCTATTAGCTTTAATTGAAGAAGCTCTATGCAACCGTTGTTAATTCTGGAGTATATGTTTAGACACATATCATGTTCTAGTTCGAGCACACATTTGTCTTTGTTTTATTGAAGGTAGAGAACCACGGCAGGAGACCAGTTTCACCATGAGAAAGTTAAGAATATATTTCACGAACAACTAGAGAAGGAGTTAGTTAACTGTAAAAGTGAAATCCACCCCAAGATAGCTTGGCATGATATCCAAAAAGTTATGGGAACAGCAGTGATATTCACCAGTAACTTAAATCATTAGATTTGGAAAAATCCATGGATTTCAGCCCCGTCTACAGAACTGGTAGATTCTTGGAAACTTATCCCATATGGTTCTGAACACGATGAGGAGTGGAGGCAGCTTAGACATAGGTTAATAAAAAATTTACGTGATGATTGTGAGTAGTGGTGGGTAACAAAAGCGGAAGAGATGTAAAAGACAATAGTGATGGATAACAGTAGACAACTGTTCAGACTTATGAAAGAAACATGTATTAAAGATGTATTTGTTAGTGAAACTATCCCAAAATAAGACAGGACTATTATCCACCCTAATTCCAGGAGATCGGATCGGCTGGCAAAACAACAGGGGACTGGCCTTGAGCAGCACTTCAGTTACCTATTCTCTCCAAGTAAACTCAGGGCATAGGTGAGGTATCCGCCCTGCAACCGGAGGAGGAGTTCACCGAGTAGCAGTTCTTTCTGTTTTGAATGTGAAACGTGAGCATTAAGAGTAGAGGATATTTGTAGGCTACTGGTATTCTGTTACAGGTTTCGACGAGTCACTGCAAGTGTATTTTGGGGCAACATGGTAAGTAAAGCCTGTGTTAGTAACAGAGTACTAGGTGAAGACAGGAAATAGATTGATCAAGTAGTAAATCTTCATCAACTGCGGTGGTTGGAACATGTTTTATGTCTCTCCAATCACCGCTTTCCTCGAGGGGCGATGGTTTTTTATTTAGGAGTGGGCTGCAAGAAAGCTAAGGGCGGCACTATCAAAACATGGTATCAGTCCATGTAGCCACTGATAATTGGACTTAGCCACGTTAACAGGTGTATACCACCTGTTTGGAGTGTGTGTGATTATTGTTACCAGTGGTTAGAGACTTTGAATGGTATGAATCAAAATCGTTTTCATTGGCTCGCGCGCAGCCATTCTTTGTCTCCTCCCAAATCCTGAAATTCTAAATTCCTCATAACCTTTTTTGTTTCACTAATTTGTATTTTATTTCCGAGTCGTATCTACGATCTTCTTTTTTATTAACACTGACACCGTTACTATCTCTGATATTCTAGGAAATGACCTGACAACTTCATCCCTCTTTGCTAATGACGTATGGCGACTTGAACCGATCTACATATGTGCCAGTTCCTACGTTGTGACTGACTGAGTGATTGATTTAATGATCATCCAATTTCTGGTAAACAAAAATACATATCGATAATATGTATATAGATTATGATAAGGACCAATATATGTTCCTGTGGATTATTATTTTTAAGACTAAAAAAACTGAAGTGACACCTTTCATTCGCTGAGAGTAATAACTAGCATTCATAAGTGACTTCACAGCTCTCATTATCAGTAATATGACTTAAAATGAGCACTTTTAACAAGTGAACGAAACGACTTTATAACATAACCCAGAAATACATGAATTTGAAAACACATAGGGAAAATGCTTTGGGAAAAGAAATCAAAGGAGTTTTATTATGAATATTAGGGAAACAAAGATTTCAAAATAGATATACGAGCCGTTTTTCGCACCAAGCTGAGGATTATTGATCAGTTGTTGGTTAATGTTTTTCGTTTTTGGTGAGCACTTCCCATATGTTACTATAATGATTAATAAAGTTTGATGATTTGAAGAGTAATACCCAGAAATGTTTCATTTCACTGTAGGCTGATAAAAGTTGCTATCAGTTTTGAAAATAACTTCACATTTCATTACCTCAGCCCATATTTTACTTAACCAGACCACTTTCCTTGTAAAAAACATTTTGCAACATCCCATATTTTTTAAATCAAACATATTATGTCTATTGTATAGTTTTGGCGACTACCTTACTTTACTAACGGCACTAAATTGTATTCTTTTGGAAAAAAATCTGTCAAGTTAATCTAAAATTACCTTATCACTAATTTTACAAAATATTATTGAACATATAAGATTTACTTTTACCATAGTTGGTCTCGACATTTTGAATCTTTCTTGATACCTAAAAATGTTATTAAGATTCAGTTATTATCAAAATAAACAAATTTTTAAAGTTAGATTCATTGTATGACGTCTCGTTCTCACTAAAGCTTGGAATACTATCTCAAAGTGTTTTAGTTTACTGAAAGACTAGGTGCCGGATGCAAAGAACAAGTGAATATACTTTAGGATTTCATAGAACTATATAATGGTGTCATAGTCCAATGAAGTATTACACTTTTTCAGAGAAATATGTCTTTCCAAATATCTTCAGCTCAGAAAAATAATTATGCATAGCAGCTAAATCCTTAAGCGCTATTTAAAGGAATTGACAGGTTAATCTACCAGTTTTATCAATAAACTCTCTGTGAAAAGGTTGCTTCAACTTACCTTGCTATTACTAAGAATCGCGGTAGTATTCTGTGTATGAGGCATGTAAAACAGACTTATATATTTACAAACTAACTGTATTAATAATATGCATCTCGAAAATAATCAAGAGCGAACCTTTATCATATGTCTCCATCATTAAGAAAGTCGAAAACAATTACAGCTAGTGATAGCATGAATTTTATATAATATGATTTTCTAATGACAACTGTTGTAATTTTAAACGTCTATTGGTAATCCACTTCAAAAGTCTCATTCTAAACTGCCTTTCCATCTAATGGATAGTTAGCATCGTAACACATCTTCCAATTAACCAAGTAAGAATTTGTGCTATGAACTGATTTATTTCAAACCAATCTTAGGGAAAAATTGCCATACATGCGGTGAGATTTCTACATAATTAAAGCAGACTTTTGGAAAATGACAGATCATTCAAGAAGAAAGAACAGAAGGGGAGAAAGAATATTCTTAAAACAGTATTCTTCGAACATTCAGGACAACTACGGCATCCAAAGTATTTTTAAGTGGTTTATAAGTAAACTTCCAACTTTTAACACATTTTTAGTAAACCTTGGGAAACAACGTTTCTATCAAATTGGTCAAATAAGACAAGCAAAATGAAATCTTCGACGCATAATAAACTTATTTAGAACACAAATATCTAAGTGTCATCAGTAATCCGTTTGTTGTCTACAGGCCCTTTGAACTGATCCTATAGACCTAAAGAGTTGTTACATGAAAAGCGTTTTCGAGCAAACATTAAATTCAGGGGCTTTATTTCTTGATGTATCACAAAATCTAGCCGTCAAATTCCAGTAGAATCTCCTTCTTTTTAGCCTTTCGTATTACATCTTCAATTTTTCTTAGTTTCGAGGGATTAGTCGATTGAATCTCATTAAAATTGTTTCATTATGAGTACAAATATCAATGCGAACTTTAGGATAACAAGTGATAACATCAATAATGTTTTGCAACAAAGCATTTGTAAATAAATCAGAGATTGTCATTCTAGACATGTTTTATGACTTAGATGTTTTTCTAAGTGTAGCTTCTATGTTTAACTTTCCTCATTTGATGATAGGTGCATACATTTTAGGGTTTTAATATAAGTTTACCAAAACACGATTCATATAATGATCGGAACTAAGATGAACTCGTCTTGCATATTCTGAAGTCATTAAGGAAAGTTGGACTTAAGACAGCATCAAAATGAATAGGGAAATTGAATAGATTTTGGGGACCAGGTGATGAGAGAAAACTGCAATCTCGTGGATTAAAATCGATAAATACGATTAAAATTGAACCAATGAGGAAAATTGAGGCAAATTCAATGAATTTATCTGGGTAATGAGGTTGTGTGACCCGCAATCATCTTAATATAAAGGTAACTATGTTTGTTCGAGTGTTTCTGAATGCATTTCAACGTTAGACAGTCTATAAAATCGCTCAAAAAACTAATACTTACATAATTAGATTGTCACCATTTATATTTACAAACATAACTACATAACCACTTCACACTTTCCTTTAAGTGGAATGATCCTGACGACAAATTTTGAAATACGTTAGTAACAAATTATTATCAAACAGATCATTTAACCAGGATTCTTGATTCACAATTCAACTACGATTACATTATATGCTAAGCTCAGGAGATATCGAAAATAACTCACTTTTCCTAAGAGTGATCTGTCGTTGGAAAACCGTATTTCCGCGATCGACACTAACTTTACTCTTTTTAATGAATAATCCTAGATAATTCATTGCCTCATTAAACTTTATTGCATTTTGTAAAGTGGTAGGTTGCAACTGTTATGTGTAAACACAGGAACAAATTATACGGTTATTTGACATAATCATTAAAACAAAGAGAAACTAGTTAACTTGTTGATAGTTAAACTATTAGAAAATAGTAGCACAGATTTTTAAACAAGCCACCGGTCATTTTACATCTTATAGGTTAAAATATCTTGAAAGACTTTAGTTTAAAATTGTTATGCGTTTGTCCTTAACTGTAAACAATAGCATAATGAACAGTCACTAAGATAAGTTTAAACATACAAATATTAAAGTATGATATAATACCATAACTTTAATTACCTCATTTGATGATATTGGCGGGCACCAATTTCATCTGTTTGATAAAGTGTATCGATGTATATTTGATGTCTATACAACCACTGAATTTCAATTGTAATAGTACCTGTTTTAGGATTTAAAATTCCCATATTTGACTCAGTTAACTGTGGAAAAAACAAAGAACAAAAGAGAAATGCTTTTTTGGAATTCATTTTAGTTAAAACCGTTATCGGCAAACTTTAGTTGCATTATATGTAATGATCTTTACTTTTCTGCTTCCCTAGAGAATTTACGGTAATAAATACACTTTTGCGGCATGTACAAAATATGTTCGTTAGATGCATTTAAAAGGTCATTTTTAAAAAAATAGAGAGAACACAAGAATTATCTTATTCATAGAGCTAACTGGAATGTCAATAACAGGCCGGTTTTTTATCTCCTCTGTAGGTTAACATAGTTATAAATTCATCAGTTACGTCATCTACAGTAAGTGTTAGAAAATGTTAACCACTGATCAGGTCCTGTAAACTTATATGCACATTTTAAAATCTTCGGTAGTATACAAATACATGATAAAAGTCAAATCATGAAAACCTTATCGATAAACTGCGTGTTCATGGTATTTGGCGTAACATCAGTACGTCCGACTTTATACTTATTGTTCGAAGATAAATTAAATTTTTTTAATGAATCGTGAAAATGAAAATGAAAATCCTTCGTGTTTAACCTTAAGTATTTTAAATAAATCTTAGTTTTTAAAAACTTGATACTGATCATTCAAGGTATCTTTCAACCATATTTATTGTGTTAAATATTTATATTTAACATAATGGTTGATTTGTAACGAAACTTGTTGGCTGACAACTCTTCTGTTTTGAAATATATCCTGAGTATATATTTCTGCACAACTCTGGTAAATTCTTCATATAGATTTATATAGTTCAGTTTATGGTGCTTATTGTTCCTCAGGTAAAAGAAAACATGGGTCTTTTCAATTTTAGGAAACATTGACACAAGAACGTAGCAATATGTAGTATGATAAAATAGCCATTCTGTTTGACCATATATGAAATTCCACTCCAGGCAAAATTATTTTATTAACTACAATTCTGTGTTGGAAAATACTGTTATATCCCGATAACAATAGTGAATGGTAACTTTGGAATCCTTTATGAACCAATATTATGCATATATTTTTATCGTATAATTGCAAAATAACTAAATATTCATATCCATGTTCCCCTTATCATAAGCTTCATTTTGACCTATAGACTATTACTATACGATTTACCATTCTTGAGTTATCCCTAGTCTATTAATTGCTGCCTCCCACATTCACAGCCACATTTGGCTAAATCTTGTACAAATGTTATTTCCTATTTTATTGGTATGATGTGGTTAGTCTGTTTGATATATAAACTCAGTATGTTTGAAATACAATGATTCATATTGCAAAGGCTGTTATTGGTGTTCTGGACTTAACTGGCTGGGCTAGGCAGACAGCAGGACTGGTACGTACTCTAGAATGCTCGTACGGTTTTCGTGTGTCACTGTTTCAATCGATAATTTGCTGCTCTCTGATTGGCGGTCTTATCACGTCATTTATTTACGGGGCTTCCACTCGGCCACAAGATATAACAAATACAAAATAAATATCAAAACAAATGCAGTAAATAAATTCACTGAAAAAACAGTTTATTAGAAAAAAAAGAAATTTTTCATATTTTTATTACGATTTTCGTTCTCTTCTCCATGGCTTTAAAGTTTTAAGATCTGGTTGTGCATCTACTGACTTTTGTTCACTTTTTACAACTGATTTTTGTCTTTCGACTTTCCACTAAAAGTTAAAACTTAAATAGGGTATTAAGTGGAATTAACTTAGTTAGAACTCTTTTTAGTAATGATGAATGGAATTGGGATTTGTGAAAAACAAATTGATTCAGTATATTTTCTTTACATATATGTTTTGTCTATTTAAATCACGTGAATTTCGATGACAAAAATATTTTGAACATTGTCGTCTAGAGTATACTGACGTGTAAATTAGAGTCCTTAAAGATAAAAGTCATTTATATTTCAGAAAGAAAATCAATACATTTGCTCAAAATTAATAAATTATGTTATTCTGTTTATCGCAAGAAATGTATGACGTTGACATTTTCAAGGACTGAAATGGAACAAAGATAATATAATCGTTCGTTTTCAAGTTTTGTTTGAATATTCTTACGAAAATTTATAGTTTTATTCATGATTAAGTATTTTAGCCAGGAGCTGATTTTTTAACCCTCTTTAGAAATACGCCCACTTTCCTCATCGAGAACCAATCGGTTGAATATGTGATTATATTATAACCGCTTAGCTTGATACGCATGGATGATTTCTAAGTTTATAGTTTAATCTCTGCTAATCACCAAAACAACGGATATTATAAAGGAAACTAAAGTAGCGAACTATAACGTTCAAGTTTAATGAAATCTCGATGAATATGTAAAAACAATTGGTACTGTAGATAAATAATAATTATTTTTTCATAGAGTTGAGATCATGAGTCAATTGAAGCTAGACCACCATGGAAAGCCTGGAAGCAATGGACAGCCATTTCGTCCTATTATGGGACTCCTCAGTAGTGCTCATCCAAAATCCCGCCTCGCGAGATTCGAACCCAGGACCTACCAGTCTCACGCCGGAGCACTTAACCGATAGACCATTGAGCCGGTATCCGACGGTGTTAATGTCCAACTTCAACTGATCCACGAAGTTGAGCAACCGTTCACCAATTTTCTTCCGTGAGTTGATATCTCCCAACAGACCTAGTTGAACTCCACTGGTTACTGCTTCTCACTAGAACTCCAGGAAATACCTAGTGGTAGGTCCTGGGTTTGAAACTCACGAGGCGGGATCTTGGATGCGCACTGCTGAGGAGTCCCACAATAGGATGAAACGACCGTCCAGTGCTTCCATGTTTTCTATGGTGTCTAGCTTCAATTGACTCATAAAATTACTAAAATATCCACATAACCTCTTCTGATAATAATCAAAATTCATTTAAATTCATGAAATACGTGGGATATCTATTAATTCATTTTAATGACTTGTCACAAAATCATGATTGGCTAAGCTTAGATGAACTCTTACCAAAATCAGCTAGGCCAAGCGGTGCTACTCGCTTCTGAATTATATTTCACTTCACCTTATTTAAACCATATATAATGTTTACACTATATCTTTGATTGATTAATCTTAGTTTTCGTCAAAAAACGTGATATCCTAGAATTCCATTATTAACTTCTAGCAGTTTTGATACAATTACTGGATTTCAATCCAGTATTTTGGTTTTCCTCTGAGGTGAACGTTGTAATTCGGGTTAAAATTAATTTTATATTTCCTCTTAAAATACAGATATTTACGCTTCAGATGTCTATTGATGTGAAGAATCAAAGATTCTTTCGGTTTGAAAAAATTATGAGCTAATCTATTGATTATGGGCTAGAGATTACTTGACAAAATAAAGATAGGTTGTTGCAATGTAACCAAACATGGGCAAAGTCGGTTGTGTTTCTGGAAAGATAACTATAACACATGGTTAGCGTATTGAAAGTGAAATTTCATAAAAACGAATGTCGAGGAAATGCAAATTACAAATTTCATTATTCTGATTCAAGGTAGGATCTTTATCTAGATACTCAAAAAATAAAGAATATTCAAAGAAACAATTGGTTTCGACAGCCCTTTCTTCAATATCTACAATTATAAAGCCATAAACATTATGTTGCAGTACATATTATGTTAGGGTGTGGATGTAAAAGTTACAGTCGAAATAGTCAACGTTTTGGATTAAAAACAGCAGATCGCATACCCATTAAGTCTTCAGTGATGACAAAATGTGTTATTGATAAAGGTAGAAGGTCATATACGGATATTTTCCAAGAAGCTCAACTTCATAAGAATTTGGGTTAACAAAGGATTCATCTGAAAACTATTAACATTTTTTTTCAGAACGGTTTAGTTGGTCATTGAATGCGGTTAAAAGTGATGAGAAATACAAAGATAACAAACCAAATTACGATTAATTAATTCTAGTAAGATTGTGATTGCATATAAAACAAGTCATCATCTGTTTGTTTTGAGGTAAAGCATTTGTATAGAGTCCAAACTGGTACAAAATGCATAGACATTTAGGGAACAAGCAACATTCTGATATATATTTTCTATGCCATATTGCAACTCAACTAGAATGCGTTATAATTAATGTGTCTTACGTTTTTGATAGTAAATGACCACAGATATAAAAGAGGAAACATGTTTAACGATAAGATTTTGAGATATATGGAATTTCATATAATGGAATAAAGATTGTAGTGTCATTATAAGTATGAAGTTATCGAAATGGAGCCAACAAAGCTCAACAAGATTTGTTGTTCCATCTGAGCCAGTATATATGTCCCAGATAACAGGGCCTAACAAAATTTCATTATCATAAAACATAATGCTGAATCTCCCCATCGAATTCACATCCCATGTTGCTGTGACTCATATAAGAAGCTCTTATACTTGGAAGTTCATATTCATATGATTGACCTTACGTTCACGTGAAAAGTGATGAACTTTATTCATCATATGTCTATTGTTGCGGTTGCGTAGCACATATTTATTTTACTTTATCATAGTATGTATGCATTAGAATACTCAGTACATTTTTATCCACTCAAGTGGGTCAAACCGATAAAAAGTAAAAAAATAAAAAAAAACATTTTTCTGAATGAACAGCGATCTTTTATCCGACAAAAATTGGCTGGATCACTTACTTCTTGACATGTTATTTCCATAGCCACCTGCACGCTACTAATTTGATTAGCTTTCTTCAACAAACGTTTAGATATTTTATTACCTATGTCCATAACACTAGTATTACACAAACTTTGCAATAGTTCAGCATCATTATTTTTTAGTAGATATTTCGGCAAATTTCTAATTAGAAGAATATTCAAATTATTTTGGAGAACGTTTATTCCAGAATGCTGAAATCGGTTAGGTGACAGCGATTCGTTATAGAAATCTGACTTTTTGCATGCAATTTGCAAAATTTCCTTTCCAACTGGTTCAATAACACAAGAATTATTTTTGTTTGATTGATAACCTCGAATACGAAGCTTACAACCAAAGAGATACAGATAACCTCTTGGTATAGTGTTCCGTTTTGAGTGAGAGTGTTTATCTTGTATTTTTGACGATTTTTCACTAATTTTCATATATTCTCGTTCACGTTGCAAATCTGTTTTCTGCTCCGGAATTAGTCCTACTCTCGCTAAACGTGATGATCTATTCAGAAAGAGCCTCCATGGAAGCGAGAATGGATCCATTATCAGACAACTGTCAACATGATTAAAATTGTCAAGATTATTGATAGGAAAATTAACCACCGTTAATCGTTCATAAAATATCATTTCTAATGTGATACAGAATTTTGATGAAACTGTGCTTAAAAGAAAAGCAACTGCTGATTGATGAGTACGTGCTTCACCCTTTTCCAAGTATTCACACGAACTAAATTTCAAAATATTGATTCGGCTTTTTTCCCCTTGTTTTAGTTGTTGTTGTTTTACTTCATTTGTTTGTTCGTCAAACGTGCAACAATGTGCTTTCAATGGCCACCCCTGTGATCCTATTAAAAACTTCATCAGCCCTGTATGACATTCACCTGGTAAATACGCATTACACAGTAGTCGTGTCCACTGTGTTCCGAGTGGTTTCTCAACATCATAGTATGTGCAATTATCTGTCTTATGCTCTGAAGTTTTTGTTAAGCATATTTCTACATCTGCACATACATCGTGATTATTATCACTGTCAAAATTTAAATTTTTCAACACGTCACGATATGGTTCAATGTCAATGGTAAGAGCCCATGTATCACCAGCATATGAAAAATGATCAGTTTCAAAATGAATGGTATCTGGAAATGTGATTGTTTCATTATCCATTCGTCTTAATACAACAGAACCATTATTATGAGTTCTTTTTCTACCTTTTTTAAGTAACATATGGTTTGTAGGATCTTCAACTTGGTTTGCTTGTAGTTTTATACATACATGAGGGTTACGTAACCCTAATTCTATAATACATTTGCCGTCATCAAATAAAAAACGTTTTGACGATAATGTAGACAAATCTATGGCATTTTTACGTCCATGTCTGCAGCTTTCTTGTGTAAATGTACAGTTCGATTTGGTAAAACACTCATTCTGACTGAAAAAATTTCGATTTTTTATAGTGAATTCAAAATCTAACGTAATAGTTTTCCATTGTGTTGGACGTTTAGCCACATTATGGTCTGATTTATTAATTGGTATCTGTGATGATGTTATCAAAGTAGTTTCACAATTTTCGGATTTCTGCGTCATCAACTCCAAGTAAAAACCTAGATGCGTATCGGTCCTTTCGAATCTTACAAACCACTCGTGTTCAGCATATTGGAAAACTTGCGTCTCGACATAATTAACTAAACCACATAAAAGATGTGGTAGCAAGAGAAATGTAAATATTTGTGAATTCGCTGCATCATTTAAGTGAACGTAACGATGTAATGGACCAAAGCATATATTTCCATCATCATATTTTTGTTCTTTCTTTGTTATCTCGCATTGTTGAGATTCAAATGAATAAGTTCCTCGGGAATGAGGTAGATTTGTCATAGATTAATTTAATAATGAACGTTAAAGGCGGATACTAAACCACATTTTGTTCTTGTAAGTATTTTGGAAGAAATTTCACAGTGTATCGAGTTTATATGTCGATCTCAAATCTCAAATTCTAGTTGGCTAAGATTTGATTGGACCAACAGTGAAGTGAAAATCATTGGATGATAATATTTGTCCTCATATAATAAGTTACTCAACAAAAGTAAACAAACTTGACTCTTGACCAACAAGTCATTATGATAGTCTCATAGTTTGTTTAAAGTAATGAAGTTTATTTATATATAGGCGCTCTCATTGTGTTAAACATAGATTAGTGAATGATATTGAATATATCAGTCATTATACTTTTTAGGCATCGTTTAGTACTCAAAGAAGGTTTATTTATGAACTGTAACATTATTTTTCGAAAAGCCCTCCGAATGTACTGGTATAAATATAGTATGGATTAATAACTATCCAAGCATTATCTAACAACAGAAATAGTAGTTACGAGAAAACATAATTCAGTGATCCGACGGATTCCTTGTTTCATATATGTTCTATTCAATCTGGTAGTATTCGTCAAACATAATAAATATTTTAAGTAAATAAATGCAAAAATTTGGATATTGTATGTTCTCAATTAAAAAAACAGACAATCTTCTACACAATGCTGGAATTAAACGACTCAATTCATTTTTTCTAGATTCTTCATATATAAACAATCCATCCAGTTGACTGATAAAAAAGTGAAAAAAAATAAATAATCAGTCAAAAAGTAGTCATTTTAATCATCATTTTCCGAAGTCAACATTTTTATCTCTGACATTCTGACAGTGTTGCTAATTTTTGGAGAACCAACGACATTTCTCGATTTTAAAAACTTCCAACGAAAGTATTGTTGATGATTTCCGAAAATTCATGTGGAGAGGCTATTTTGCTTTCTAAAAAACTACAGTAAAATATAAAGGACTTGAGCAATTACGATTCAAATTCTTCAAAATAATTTCAAAATTTTATCTATCGAGATTCGTATACGTTTTGTAGTTTATTTTTCATTTAAAGCAAAGTTTGAACCCAGAGGCTATGGCCACTTCACGTATTCTCTAACCGCAGCATATATAGTCATATGTAGCAACGTAGTTTGGTTATTGTAAATTTTCATACATTTTGTAAATGGCGAAAATTGAATTAGTTTATCTAATAGGTAAGATTTTGGATTCTTGGATGGCAGTAGAACTGACGATGAAGTGAAAATGTGGTTGTGAAAAATATGAATCTGTAACGTTTATGTATTTGGAACTGATTAGTCAACTTAATTATGATGCATATTAAAGTTAAAGCTGAATACATAAATGTGGCAACTTTCCGAAGCTTCACCCAATAAAGAGAAACTTAATCGAGTTATAGAAAACATTTTATTATGTTATATAGCTGAAAAATGGGTAGGAAAAGTTTTGTCATGCTTCATATCCGTTGACATTCATCTGAAAATCTCCGTGAACATTCAAAACCTTTATTCACATGACATTATGACCATATACATTAATCATTCATGTGATCCCTAGGGACGTTTTCAAAAACAGTAATCCAACGTCAAGATAAGTTAACTAATTTAACCAGAAATGCAAACATATCGTTCTGACATAAACATGTTATTCAATGTAGACTTACTATTACCTATCTTGACTCAAATACTCATGCTTTTGATATTTTACTATGATCAAATGTAGATATTCTAAACAGTTTGCAATATTAATGGATGCTGGGTATTGATGAAATCCATAATGTAGTTTTAGTCTTGTTTAAAATTTATCAATTTTATGTAATTGGATCTCCTATGTCCACATTACACTTGAATGGACTGCTACTGCCTCAAACAGCCGTGCCTAATCCACTAGACTACTGTTTCACTATGGTTACTAACTTATTCAGTAAGTACAATAATTATTGAAACAGGAGATTAATAGAGAAATCTGACTGAGAAATAAAATAATTAAATCATTTTAGCCATACAAAATAATTCTTTTGTCTGAATGAAAATCCAACTCTTTGAAAATGGAAAAGTGACTGAAACGTCAACCATAAAATAATTTATTCTTTTAAATGGTTAAGCTATTTGTGAATTCCTAATGATACGACTGAAGATTTTTAAATAATTGTAAAACGAAAAATGGTTATACTTCTGTAAACGTTGTATGTAAATACTCAATATGCACTAGACACAAAGAAACTCTTAATCATTAGCTATATAACACATGAATGCATTTTATTGGACACTGCTTATCATAATTCTGAAAATAGCTTTACTGCTTTTTGTATCAATAGTTTGGATCGGAAGATCGTTAAATTACTCTTAAAACAAATATTTCTTTCTGTTTCACGACTGTGTATACTGTATAGTCCTACATATAAATCAATATAGTTAATAGCAGCCTTATATTCCATGGAAAATACTTCGTGAACTTTTTGAACAGTTTAAGTTCCACAGAAATCCGAACTGTTTGATTACCCTCAAGTTTGGTAATAATGAATATTTTGCTAGTTTTTTTAAAACATGCTACGCTAACGACATTCAGTCTGATGAATCCAACGTTTCTGATATTAATAGAGTGTGATGAAACTTCTACTGATAAACGGTGTTTAGCTGTGTCTATTTGGAAGGCGCGATTATCGGAAAGGTCAATCTTTTTTATTATTTTCAGCCCATTAGGTTTCATTACCGGTAACTTATAGTTCCAACTACCATCAATCTTAAAAGATCACTTCGCAAATAGTTTATCCTCACTAAAATTTAGCAACGTAGTATCAAGTTTGTAAGCATTAACTGTTTATTGATCCAACTTATTTCTAATCAGTCTGATATTCAACAATAATTATAAAAGACATTTTAATGCGTTAAGTAATATATCAGAACACAGACACACTAAATGGAGAGCCCCATAAGACTTGAGAGAACTAAGTATTTGTTTCTCCATGGTTTTTGACTCAACAATGTGAACTGACAGTCCTACATAAACCGTGTATCTAGTTTGAAATTTTTCTAGATTGGATATTAGTTTACCATGAAAACATTCTTCAAAGTGAACAAAACAGTATAGCTAACATATCTAAATTATTTATTAATTCAAAGAAATTTTAATACCGCGTCGAAGATGTTTTGGAAGCTAAACTTGACGGATATATTAATTGTATTTTTTTTCATCATTTTAGCTCTTAAGAATCACTCAAATAAATTTTAAGATTATTTCAACCGTGAAATTAAAATTCATCTCATGCGTAGTAATGAAAATCCATCTTTTCAGTATTTCAGAAAACTGAGTCATAGTGATCAAAATACTCTTAGTACATAAGGAGAGTAATTTTAAAGAAACAATATTCCTTAAAACATTCGAAATAGATACTGAAATCGGATTTGTTGATAAAAAAGGCTGTTTTGTTCTGTAATTTATCAACTGCTTTGTAGTGACGAATATGTTGAAAACAATATCAAACGCCTTACAATAAATTACTGATAATGTTTCTAATGCGGAGTACTATTTCATTCTGTCTCGCTTTAGTGAATATAAAAGTGAGCTCTGAAATGTCGGAGTTTATGCTTTTAAAAGACAATAACATTCCTGAAAGTTGCCAATTAATTCGAAGTTCCATTATTCTTGTAGGAGCTCATTGATTTGTCTTAACAGTTATCAGTTCACAATAATAACTAGAACGTAATAAAGACGTTATCTAATAACTTCCGTCTACAATCCCAACTGTTAGATCAGACCTAAACAATGTAGTGAAGATATTTTGCCCCAAAAATAGCTTGTCATCCGAAACTAATTAGTCTTATTCAATAGTGTTTCAAACATTTCTTTTGTATTATCTTGTTCATCTGAAGAAACCTTAGTTTAAGCACGTATTTGTAAGCATTTAATATCTCCATACCATGTTTTTGAAATATGCTAAACTTCAAGCTGATTTTTCACCAATGAGCAATGTGATATGCTGACAGAGAAGCCATTGGATGCAAGAACAAAGGTGAAAATATCCAGTACTTTAGTCAGAGACAGTGCGTGATACGTTATTAACCACTTTGGTGAAAACGTGATTGATGTATACGCATGCTTCCACTAAAATATCATTCTTATAGTTAAGAATGATAGTTTTGTATTGAAAAAGTTATGAAACTCTTCACTACCTAGGTTTTAATAAACTTTTACCCGTCAGAAGAGCTAAAATGTGATGACTCGAAGCCAAATGAATCACAAACCAGTTTCACTAAAATCCTGAACCTGTCAATGTTAGACGATCATCAAAAACCAAGAAGAACTGGACAGACATTCCATCCTGGTATAGGACAACTCAACAGTGCGCATCCACGATCCCGCATACGGCAGTCGATCCTAGAAACTTCCATATCCCGTGTGAACGCTTAAATTCTAGGCCATTAAACCGGAATCCAATGGTGTTAATGTTTCTCTTCAACCAATCCACGATAAAGCGCAATGAATTAAATATACTAAGGATGATTATTATTATACATTGACCATAATAATCACTTTGATATCTAAACAGAGTGTGCAAACATCTTCCATTGTCTTCGGTGGGTAAATGCCTCATACCCGAAATGCTTCAACTCCACTGGTCACGGCCTGTATACATGTCTCAGACAACAGGTCCTAACAAAACTTCATTATCATAAAAAATAATACTGATTCTTCCTATTGACCTTATACCCCATGAAGTACCCATGTTAGGTTTAGTAGAAGATATCATGACTTTCTATATAGATAAAATTGCTTTTTAGTGTGGACTCACTGTGTTCCAGTCTGATCAGTCGGGCTAAATTTTAACTCAAAGTAGAATGTAAGAAGAATCTTTATACTATCATACCAGAAGAATGTATTTAGTTTCACTTACCGTATTTTCTTGGATAGATTAAGACCATTTACATTCGCAAAATATTTTTCAAACTGAGTAAATTAAATAATGAAAAGCATGCAAAACAAACGTTAAAACCGACTACTATCCAACATATCTATGAAGGTATGAAAAAAACAGTAATGCGCGAGTATATTTCATGATACTTTTCCAATATTCGTTACTTCA